AAGTTTTACGGCTCCGAAAAAAAAAACGATATTTGAAATCGACTTTAGGCTCGCGCAATATTTACACATAATAGTGTAATTATTAAAGAAAATTTTAAGCCCAACCCCGTTCATAAAGATGTGGCGGCCTATGAATTATGGGGATTTTACAAAAACGCTTTTTTTCCGAAAAACTCGATTTTTGCAAAACTATAAAATATTTTTCAATTTTGAAAAAATCATTTTATTTTGCTCACCAAGGGCTATCCTTTCACCAAGTTTCATAAAAAATATTTATTTTTGAAAGAGATACAGCTTTTTGAAAAAATTGAGACTTCGCGGTTTTTTTGCAATAATTAATTTATTTATTTATCGATCAAAACCGGTTTGCTTATACGATCCGAATTAAAAATTCCTGCAACTTTTGTTTGAAACATTTTTCTCTAAAATGTTTAGTTTTTTTTTATAAATGACTGTTTTTTGAGAACTTTGAACGCCATTTTGAAAATGAAGCCCAAAAATTCATTGAACTCTACGGAATTTTTCCTAAATTTTATATATTTTCAAGTAATGAACTATTTTTAGCAAAAAAATGAGGTATTTTCGACAATTAGATTGGACTTTAATGGGGGGGGGGTCAAAATATGCTGAATGACCATGTACAGTTGTAAGGACAAAAATTCGAACAGAAAACGTGATCTATAAAAATTAAATACTTTTGTGTCTGTTATTATCAGTTTGGGACAAGAGAACCTGTTTTGTAATTTTTTTTAATGTGTTAATATGAAGTTTAATTTTTTGAATAATCTTAAATAGAAAAACTAATAGCAAAATATTTATTTAAAAAATTTACTTTAAAGGTTATGACTCCAATCATATTGAGTTTTTAAAAAATGTTAGGAACTTATACCATTATTTTTTTACGTTGACCTTTAAATTTTTGGTTCAGAATTTCCAGACGCTCATTATAAATAATTTTATTCAACAATTTTTTGGAAAAAAATGATTTCTTGTCACTTTTGTAGTTTTCTTAAATAACGATATCTTGCAAAAATATCTCTCGAAATGTCAAGATCCTAAATCGTCGACGAAGCAGCTCACCCGGAAATTGTTCTACCAAGCTATTTTTATATTATACAGGGTGATTCACAAACGGTGACCAAATATGAAACCTCGTATTTGGTGAATTTTAAGGGGTCTTTCGTATAAAGTTTTTATCTAGGACGCTTCGTTAAAAAGATACAGGGTGTTAAATTTAAAAAAAATATTTTCAATTTTTTTTTATAATTAAACTGGATGATGTAAAAGTGATTTCAATTCGTTTTTTAAGTTTTACTCAAAAACATAAGAGCGTAGTAATTTGTAGAAAATTGAAAGACGAATCTGAAAATATCATGATTGCTACCGTAAAGCAGTCGCGTGCTATTTCATATAGAAAAATATACCCTGTATCTGCGCCAGTGGAGCATCTAAATTTTAGAAAAATGCCTCAGATTTTGGATAATGTTTACATAAATACATGTTCCCAATTTCAAATAATTTCACTTACTAGTTTTTAAATTATTTAAAAAAATTTAAAATATTTTTTTAGGTTTAACATCCTGTATCTTTTTAACGAAGTGTCCTAGTTAAAAATTTATACGAAAAACCCCTTTAAAATTCGCCGAAGAATACGAGGTTTCATTTTTGGTTACCGCTTGTGAATCACCCTGTATTATACAGGGTGTATTTAAATGGAGGGGCACAAATGATACCAAAGATTCCTTGGGTGAAAATAAGTCGATTTAACCTAATATGCCTATGTCCCAAGTCGCATAATAAAAAAGATACAGGGTGTCAAAGTGAAAAATAATAAATAGTTTTTCCTTAATAATTTCTACAATTTGAGTCAGAAACGTTTCAAATTTTCAACAGAGAGGTCTTTTAATGATGGGAAAAATAATATAATAATGATTTTTGAGTGTCGAGTACGAGGCGCCCTCTGCAGGCAACGTTATACATTGAATATGTAGTAACTTTTTTGACAACCCCCGCATACAGCTTTTAGTAACAAAATATGAAATATTGGACTTTTTTAAACAAAAAAGGTATACTTATCAAATATGGCTAAAACCAATCGTTGAGGAGATATTTTTAATTTTATAAATTAGTGTTACGGATTTATACCTCCACGAATACCAAGGTTCGCGTTGCTTAAATAAGAAAATCGAGTCATCGATCAAATGTCATTTGATAATACTCGTAAATTGCAATTTTGAAGTATTAGTTTAAAGTGTTAATTGATTTTAGTCACTATTTACCTGCGTCCTAGATATTAAATAGTTTTGGAATTGAATAAAATAACAAATTATGTATAGTAATGACGAGTATGTAGCATCAGTACCTTCGTCCTGAAGGTACTTGCAGAAGACGTCTTATTCGCTATGTGGAACTTGAAGAAGTTGTCCTTAGCAATTTACAAGATCAGAATTCTGAAACTAGTACCAGAAAATTGGCGACACAGGATAACGTTTCACATACTACGATTAGAAAAATTGCGAATGATAATAATCTTTTATACCCCTACTATCTGCAACCTGTGCAGGAATTGACTGCTGCGGATCTACCTATCAGGATAGATTTTTGTCAATGGTATATCAACATTTCAAGGGAAAACAGAAATATTTTATCCAGTATTTTGTTTGGTGATGAAGCGTCATTTCGAAGACATGGTTTGTGAACCATCACAATAATCACTCATGGTCTGACGAAAATCCTCACCAAGTTTGTACATCCAAATTTCAACAGAATTTTAGTTTAAATGTATGGACAAGATTTATAGATTATCTTATTGGTCCGTTTATTCTTCCCTTTAAAAAATCTTTTTTTTTTATTGTCAGCCAATTGTTTCTCTTAAATTATCTATTGAATATTGTTAAGTGAATCTTGGTTTTAGTTCTTTTGCTCTTTTTTCTAATAATTTTATTATTAAACTAACAATAAATAAGTATTTTGCAATATTTTTTCATCTGAACTTTCATATGAGATTTCTATAATACTGGATTTAAATAATTTCACGTCCACAAGAAAATGTGTTTTTTAATAGACACCGAAAAAAACATTAAATAGAAATTATGCAACAAGTGTATTCACACATGCTAAATTAATAAACAAAAAGAGTAAAGTAAATCTAAAACAGGAAAAATAATGTTGTCTCAGTTGATTCCTGCGCCCCCATTTGGTCGAATTTTAAAATACAGAACCTTGGTATTCGTGGAGATATAAATCCATAACACTAATTTATGAAATTAAAAATATCTCCTCAACGGTTGGCTTCAGCCATTTTCAATAAGTATACCTTTTTTGTTCAAAACAGTCCAATATTTCATATTTTGTTACTAAAAGTTGTATACGGGGATTGGCAAAAAAGTTACTACATATTCAATGCATAACATTGCCTGTAGAGGGCGCCTCGTACTCGACAATCAAAAATCATTATTATATTATTTTTCCCATCATTAAAAAACCTCTCCGTAGAAAATTTGAAACATTTCTGACTGAAATTGTAGAAATTATTAAGGAAAAACCATTTTTTATTTTTCAATTTGACACCCTGTACCTTTTTTATTATGCGACTTGGGATATAGGTATGTTAGGTCAAATGGACTTATTTTCACCCAAGGAATATCTGGTATCATTTATGCTCCTCCATTTAAATACACCCTGTATTATATTTAAAATAAGTTTTTTTATTTTTTACAATTTCTGTCTGCTTTAAATAAGAAGTTAAAAAACGCATCATCTCTCTCGAACAGCTTTATTAAATACAGTTTTTAACGAAAACAAAAATTAAGAGCACTTTACTTAGGGAAAATTTCACGTTTTGAAATTTTTTGGACGCTCTATATATTTTATTACATATTTGGTTACTGGCCATAGCTTCCCAGTACAAGCAAAACTTTTTATCAAGAATAAAAATTTTTACTAGAGTGAGATACCCTATCCGGGGCACATTGTATAAATTTCCAATAAATAAATAGTAAATTATGTTAATGTTTTGCAGGAGTAGGTTATAACTCAAACTCTGCCTTTTTACGATTTTTTCAGTATAATCTGTTTGATTTTGTAAGTAGGTCGATGTATGTTGCAAATAAAATCATTTTATTCTTATTCTGCGCATACACAACGATGCTCTAACATCAGTTATTATTTGTTATATCATTAAATACCTAATATGATTCTCATCGACTTACCTTACACTGCTGCTGCTGCTGCTGTTGCTGCTCCTTTTCCTTAAAAAACATGAAAACAACATGTAAGAGATTAAAAATATATCCTGGTGATCCTAGATAAAATTTTTGAGATTCTAGTGAGGTAAAAGTCGTCCAAGAAAGAATAAAATTAATTTAAGAAAGGTTTATTTTCTGAAAAATTAAATCAAATCAGAAAAAAATATGGATATACCCCATTGCCACTTGAAATTACTGTAACTTTATTGCCTCGCACAATATAAAATAATATTAAAGTTTAAAACCAGTTAACAATACATATGACAAAGGATATTAAATATTTTTTAATTTACATTTAAATTACATTTTCAGTTTCTTATCGGTTTCCACATAGTAGTTTTATACTCGGTAGCAATGATGTTTTATGTCCGTAATTGATCTCGAAAATTTAACACTCTTTCGAATGTTACCTGTCCCTTATGTGAGTTCTAGGAATAAAAAAGTAAGTGTCTTTTATTTCTCATCGTTTACAAGATCAACTTACCTGACTACTACTTTAATAACCAGAAATAGTAATATACCGCTAGAATAAAATAAACAATTCGTAAAGTACACAAACTCATTCCAGATTACGTCACAAGACATCAAGGATTGCCGTCTAATCCAACTATTTTTTCATGATAAAATAACGTAAAAACCACGCTTTGAACACATTTACCATTAGTCCTTTATTGAAACTCTTATGTGCGCTTTGGTCTGTATTATTTTTTTAAAAGTCTTGTTTGAGCCAATGCTAATTGTCCCAATTTTTAGTGCCACATGCAGAATGCAGGACAACAGTTTGGCCAAGGTGGTGCCCCCTCCCACCAAGGTGCTGCTTACGGGCACACAGAATCCTCGGTAAGTACCATCAAAGTACCAAAAAGACGGTAGAGTACCGGATGACGATGCGCGAGTGCCTTCAGTGCGATTTTGGACGAGGCTTGTTTGAAAAATTTTAGTTTGTGTGATCGATTTTGAAACGGAATTAGACTGGATGTGTTTGAAGGCGAGGTGGACGTTCTGATGGAGGTGTGGTAACAAAAAACGGTTGATTTTAGGATTTAGTGTTTCCAAAAGCAAAAATTAATTACAATGTATTAATTATACAGCGTTGGTTTCAATGAGCGTAACTAATAAAATCCTGTTGGGAGTTTTATTTTCCGCAACTGCATAAACTATTATAACGATGCAGATTGTATTTCAGTTTGTACAGAAAAAATAGGATATTTTCTATTCCAGTTTCACATTTTTTTTACATTGTTAGATTTCATAGAAAAATTACTAATCCTGGCTTTATTTGTCAAACAGTAGAACAATAATTAGATATATTAACCTTCACAAAAAATTAACGACCGATAAGAAACCTACTATACAATTATTCCAAATACCGCCCTGTTTTTTTTTTTTCAATTTACAAATAGATTACTGTTTCTTTTTTTATAATTTTAAATGCAAAAATGTGACTTCTTAAAAATACGTCATATAATAAACAAACGTTATTACCTATTAAATTACTTCATTTTAAATTTATATATTTTTACATTTTATAATTCGTCCCCAATTATTAAAATTGCATCGTAATCATAAATCTTTCTAAGCTTAATTATCCTCGGTGATCCTAATAATAACTTGGGTTCTGTTGACAGAAGGTACTAATTAACCTTTAAATTGTCTCCACTATAATAATACCTACCTACTAAAAATCGATTTGTAAATATTCTGCAAAGATTACCGAACATTTATAACAATATTATATAAAAGTGATTTAGATATTATGTATAGTCTTTCCGAAGTTTTCTGATAAAGGTAAAAAATTATAATAATTTGTATATGATGTGCAATATTATACAGGGTGGCCAAATGAAAACGAAACAGAGCCATTTTCAGGAACTGCGTCAACATTATAGAAAAACGCTCAGACCCGTCGATTTTAGATTAAAGGGGGACATTTTTTGCTGGTATTTTTGACTCCGCCACTTTCACCCCCAAGCAAGGATAAGTATCACCCCAAAATATTTAAATGGAATTGGGGGTTGAGTAATATTTCTTTTGAAAGCTCTTACAATTCTCTTTACAACAGACTTTAAATTTTATAATTCCGCCGCACTTATTAAGAATTTTTATTCTAAAGTTGAAACTTATGTACAAACAATTAGTAACGGTAAAAATGTCAATAATTCGAGTTAAATACGCCAATGGCATAAATTTAGTATTTCTTGCGTTACATTGGTTTTTGGCGATTTGTTATCACTCGTAAAAAAACACAATTGTAAAAAACAGAAATGATTGCAATACACACACAATGAACGTAAAATTAGTGGATTCCAAATTATTTTCTAGTATTATTTGGAAGCGTTGGTTGGTAGTTTGTTTAATTGTGTTTTTGAAAATTAAACACTATCGTTTATTCCATTGCGGAAAGGATATCATTTCGCTTTACTTTAAGAACAATAAATGTGCGAATAGAACAGCTCAGCTATTTAATGAACATCATGATCGACACGTCAGAAGGAAATATGTTCTAGAGTTAGTAAACAAATTTCAAGAGACGGAACGTAGTCAATAAAAAACGATAAATTGAAAAACCTATAGTCAATGAAGCTAGTGAAGTTGCAGTTTTGGGACAAGTTCATCTTGATCCTACATTAAGTACAAGGCAGTTGGCATCTGTGTCTGGGATCAATCAAACTAGCATACAAACCATTTTGAAGAAGAATAAATTCCATCCGTACAAAATACATTTAGTCCAGGAACTTGGAGGATGAGGATGACCGCCGTTTGCAATTTTGCGAAATAATGAGTGAGCGAGCAGGGAATGATCCACAGTTCCTTTTTAACATCTTTTTTTCTGATGAATGCAGTTTTTTCTGGAACGGGACGGTAAATCGTCACAATTGCCGCTATTGGTCCGACCCAAACCCAAGAGTTTTTCACGAAGTGCATACACAACAAGCGAGAAAATTAAATGTATGGGCTGGAATTTTCGGTGACCGGCTGGTGGGTCCTTTCTTTCTACCTGGTAATTTAACTGGCCAAATGTATTTGCAATTACTGGAAGACGCTATTGACCTTGCCTTGACTGATATTATTGAAAATGTTCCAGAGTATGATGAAGATCATTTTATTTTTCAACAGGACGGTGCTCCTCCGCATTAAGGCGGAAATAGTAAAAGTAAAATAGTAGTAGTAAAATAGGTAAGTAACTAAGAAATAGCATATGCCGGCGGATGGCACACTGCTGATAAATTTGCAAGTAAAATGGAATGCCTCGTTAGTATATGGCTTATTGGCATGTCAGTAAGTAGCAAGTAGACACGTTCCGACATGCCGCTTCAACTCCCCCGAAACCCCCCGCCTCACATTGCATGCCAAAAAATCAAATGATGTGCAATTTACTTGCGCGCCTTCTACAGGCATGCCATTTAATAAATACACGTACCAGGAGCTATCTCTTGCAAGCTACTTGCATGCTGTTGTGCAAGCAAGAGGCATGTGTATTTCCGCCTTTATGCGTTAATTGTGTGTCAGTATTTGGACCAACGGTTTCTACGGAATTGGATTGGGAGAAGAGGCAGCATTGAGTGGCCTCCACGATCACCGGATTTATCGCCCCTTGATTTCTTTTTGTGGGGATACCTAAAAAGTAAAATCTATAAAACACAGCCAGCGTCGCTGGAAGATTTGCGTCAAAGAATCGTCGACGAATGCCGTCGAATCACTCCGGAAATGCTTCGGAATGTGCACGAACGTTTCGAACAAAATCTTTATTCTAGTATGGAAGCGGGCGGTCATCAGTTTGAACATTTAATCAACTAGGTAGTAAGTAAGCAACTAAACATAATTTAAATTTTAAAATGTCATTTAAATATTTTGGGGTGATGCTTACCCTTGCTTGGGGGTGAAAATGGCGGAGTAAAAAATACCAACAAAGAATGTCCCCCTTTAATCTAAAATCGACGGGTCTGAGCGTTTTTCTACAATCTTGGCGCAGTTCCTGAAAATGGTTCTGTTTCGTTTTCATTTGGCCACCCTGTATGTTCATTTGACCAACAATATATTTTAATTATTTATGTCCTCAAACAATTTTATGGTAAATTGATTGTAAATTTCGTTTTGTTCCGTTTCAAAAGGTCTCCAAAATGCCATGTATTAATATTTCTCCCTTTCGCAATTGTAATATCAATGATTAATAAAACGTGCCTATAATAAATTAAAATTACCTAAATCACACCAAATTCCGCATTGCTGCACTGCACTGCTAGGCAATTTGTCGACCACTTGTCAACGGCTGAGATTTATTGCCCAGTGGTCTAATGCAACTGTATTTGTATTTAGTTTGCCCGCAATCGCATTCTTCAACTGGCCGTATACATTTCTACCACCTCCACGTTTATTAGTTCGACTAGAACTGTATATGGGTATGGCTACATAAATATGGGAACAAGTTTTTCAAATATTTCAATGCCGAATTGCTGCGTCAGCGACCGAACCTGGTACATACTGTCATTCCCTTGGTTCTTCAATTGATATCGGAAAGACTATACAAGATGTTACTTTTTAAATAAATAACGTTTTGCTTTTCAAATTCAAAAAACATTTTATGTACCTACAGACATGGGCGTAGTTACAATATTTGCTTGGGGTGGACCGAGCAGGGCTACAAGTTCTATGGAAAAAGGGCTCTCATACCCAGTCACCGATATGACAAAGCATAATATTAGATCTTTTTTTGTGGAGTGGGTACCAGGCTTCCTGGGGTGGGCCGTGCATACCCCTGCCCCCTCCCCCTGACTACGCCCATGTGTACAGGGCAGGTGGTCAGTAATTTTATTTTCTTCATGCTGGCAACTAAATTTCGGCAAAATTAAAAATTATTTCAATTATAATTTTTGAAAAAAACTAAATTGCAAATTGATAGATGTAATCTAATTGTTTAAAAATAAAAAAAGTGTAAACTTTAAAAATTTACTGTGACCGTCCTAATCTACCGATTTCAATTTTTTTAAAAACCATTTGAAAGGTTGAGCGGTCTTTTCTATGTGAAAAAATTTTAAAAATTCCCAATTTTTTATCAAAATATTTTTCAAAAAATTATTTTGCGAAAACTATAGAACCGATTTTAATGAAATTATGTTTTTTTATTACACTCTAAAGTTTATTTTGCCTTTTTTTTTCACCAATTATTGCTATTTTGCAACATCGGTAATAAATTTAAATATTTTTAACTTACAGTATATTGTGCAAAATTCAATTCTAAAACATTTTTTCCTCTTTTTTCCTCTTCAATATTCTTCCAAAATGCATAGGTTCCAAGATATAAGTAAAAAACTCAGATAAAATAGGTATTTTTTAAAATATTTTAAACATTTTTGCAATTTTGAAAATATTCCGGACCTCGCTCAGATCTAGGGATCTACACTTTTATTATGTGAGTTGTACTGAAGGTAATCCAGAAAAAAATTGCTTGCCCCCTCTCACATCCACCTCGAAACAGATCCGCCCTGGTCTATATGTATTTCTGTCTTAATTAGGGAATAACAGACTATATTTTTTTTATGGATGGAAATGTGGTAAAACAGTGCAGTAAATTGTTTTTTTTTCTTAACATCATTTTCGACTTATTTGCACTTTTGCAGTCATCACTTACCTAAATTCCTTCCAGTTTTTTTTTAAATGTAGTTTATTAAATTTCGCAATTCTCTACTAGGGAATTCTAGGGAATTTTTGCTTAACATGTAGGTATTTTTATATCTACTCATTTGGCGTCACTGGAGCACCGGACACTGGACATTCGACTGTGTCCGATTTTTGAGTGTGTTATTTACCTGATATATCAGCTAATTTCAGCTTTTGTGAATGCCGATATTGCCAATTGGTCAAGTAGATGAGATTAACTGAGATTTCAGCTATTCGCAACTATTCTGAATGCTGATTGGTCAAATAGGTGAGATTAACTGAGAACCCAGCTAATCTCCGTTATTCTAAATGCTGATTGGTGAATTGGGTAGAGGTCTCAGGTAATCAAAACACAGCTAATGCTACTTATTTAAAAATATATGCAATATTTTTCTAAATTTAAACAGCAAATACCAGCTGTTCATAAACTTCCGGGAAACGAGTTTTACACATTTTTATTTCTTTTAAGCAAGTTATTGTTGCACATTGTAAATAATAAAAATACATTGTTTACTTTTCGATAAATTAGCAGGAAAATTCACATAAACATTGCGAAAATCGACCTATTAATTATAATGCAGACCCGACAGTTTAACAGTAATTAACACGCACGCATTAGCAATAGTAAATGAATTTGATTATGATTAAAAAAAAATTGTTTTTAGCTTTATAACTTTAAACGTTTCTGGAACTTGTAGAATATTTTTTATTTCGTAGCAAAAGTTAAAGTCCAGCTATTCGACGTTTTATATTACTTCAGTTTATCTTGCATGGAACTAAATTAGAATGATAAATAAGGTGCAACATAAAATACTATCGAAATAAACGATTGCATCCCCTTTGAAATTTAAAAACACTTCCTTTTGTAAACATCTGTCCTTAGTTACAAATTTTTATAATGCAACTTGTATGAGTATGTGTTTTTCGTAACACTTCAACAAATTATAATTGACACATAGTTGACTTCCCAAGACACATTTGAAGTGTATAACAATTTTAAGCTATCTAATCTACAAGATAATCCAAATCCTGCATTAATAAAATATCCAATCCTAGAATATTACAAAATTTTATAAACAATTCTCCACTAGCCGTTATAATTGTTAGCTGCTACCTTTATCTTTGTATTCTAACACTGATAAAAAAACGAGTTGTTAATAATGCTGTAATTTTTTTAGCAGACCGCCACCGGGAGTATAACTAGCTCCTTGAGGCAATTTAGGAAAAAGGATGTGGACAAACAACAAGTGAGCGAGAACGGCACCACCGTGGCCGAAAGCCATGTGGCGCGGGTGGCCCCGCACAACCACTACCCACCCAGGCCCCAAGACTGCTACCGGTATCCTCCCCAATTCCCCGACTATGCGTAAGGCGACAAAAAGCAAAATTGTTTGGACAAAATTAGAGATTTCTGAATTTCAGCCTGCCATCGCAAGTAAAATACTCTGAGATCTCCGACCACCAGCCATTACAAGAGCAAATATCCCCTTCCGTGATACAGAAGGCGAAAGGGAAGGAATACATGGAGATGTGCAACGTACCGCAGCCCCACATGAAGCAGGGGTACCCCGACCAACTCAACAACCAACAGCCCTATGGTACGGATCCCAATCTACATCCCCATGCCCAATATCTGCAGAAAGACCCTCAGGTAAGGCCTTCACTAAAAATAGTCTGGAATTCGATTTATTTAACCTCGCATTTAGCAAAGATTTCTCCCACAGGTCCACCCATCGTACAAACCCGAATCTCAGTACTACCCCAAAGAAGCGCAATACCAACAACTGCCCCCTCAGATGCAGAAGTACAACATGCCGCCGCAGATGAGGAAGTACCCGACTGAAAACGATTTCCTCTCCAAGCTGAGGAGAATCCACCCCACCATGGCCAGGTCTATCATGAGCGAGCACCATCTACAAGAGTCGCAGTCTTCTTACCAGCCCATGGACCAGAACCGGATATATCCACACCAGAACCAGCGATACATGAACTACACCGCGCCCATGCAGAACAACCCTTACCCGCACGGGTACATGCCCCCGCAGCCTTACTCTAACTATCCGCCTTCGTGCAGTTACACGAGATCTCCGCAGATGCCCCAAAGGTTCCCTTCCACGAACCCCCACGAAAGGAGTATATCTCCTCGTAGGACTTACACCGATAACCTCCCGATCCCTCCTATGAATTACACCGCGATACCACAGAGGATTTCTCCCAATTACCCCCAATATAACACTCCGGAATACGCGCAACACTATCAGCACCGTAGAGGACCTGTTGCCCCTCAAGAGTTTTATCCTCAACCTTGTAGGTAAGCTAGAACTTTCTTATAAAGTTGACAAATGTACTTTAATATGGTTACAATTTTTAGGACCACTCAATACATGCCACACCAGATGCCGCAGCCGGAGCTAGCAGAAAACAGGGTAACGGTATCCGACAGTATCAAGCAATACATAGAGAATTGGGCTGACGAAGAGACGGCTTCCGAAATGAACCAAATGGAGACCAACAGACTATGCAAGGAAAACTTAAGAAATCGAGACGAACAATCAACGGAAACAGTATACATGATAAACGCCTCTGAACTGCAATATTTAGAGAACGGGATACCGCTGGTTACATCAGAAAACGGAATACCACTGGTAAGAACAAATCTTGACCGAAAAAACTAGACCAATAACTAATCCTCTTCCAGGTAACTTCGGAAAACGGCCAGTATTTTTTAAAAAGCGGCGTAACGATTGACAACTCCACTGGAATGGTTAGAATAGTGGAAAAACCTACCCAAATCGAGTCGGCTGAGAGTACCGTCGATAGAGTCGTCAACCTCCACATCATGGACCCTGTGAAACCAGACTGCATGTTAGCGAATAAACCAAGCGAATCGAGCCAAAGACAAAATGAGAATATGTGCAATATGACCGAAAAGACTAAAGTGGTGATTCATCAGAACACTGTGATACAGAGTAGTCAGGTGAGCGCGACTAGAAAAACAGGAATGGGTGTAGAAACCGAGCAATTTCCCAAAAAAGTTGGTACCAGCCTGCCTATACTGGTAGAGAATGGTGTGACTGCAGATGTGACTCCTTTGGAAGAGTTCACGAAAAATGTTTTCAAAGAATCCAAAAAAGAAACTGTCGATAAAAATTGTTCACCTATAAACATGGAGCAAATTGAGAATGGAGATGATTTCAACGAAAATCCATCCGTGATTTGTCCTTTGAAGCTGTTGGAAGATTCGGTGGTACCACAGGAGGAAAAAGAGGTGGACAATGTTGAGAAACTGAAAAACATGCCTATTATCGATTTGTTACCAGAAGAAAATAAGGACAAAGACGAAAAACCTACTATCGCTCATGCAAACCAAACACAAATTGAATTAAGAGAGAACACCACAAGTGACGATGAATGTGAAACAAAGAATGATTCGGATACGACTGTGACCAATAACGACAATTCTCCGTGTAGCAATACAGATAGAAATGATGATACAGAAATAAAAAATATCCCAGACTGTAAAGAAATCGTTGAAAACGATAATAATAATACAGAGAAAATAGCTGAGATTGTAACAGGAGAAAGCGACGTTATAAAAGAACCAAAACAAGAAACCAAAGAGATCACAACAGAGCTTACCAAAGAGATAACTGATGAACCGCCACCTTCTGAAACAGTTGAAGAAATATTCGAAAATGATGTTCCGGAAAACAGAAATGAGGCGACAAACACGATAGATGTAGATAATACTATGATAACTAAAAATAATGAAACTGAGAACACAGTTAAAGATTGTAGTACGACTGACCAAAATCCATCGGTTAATATTCCTGCTTCAAAGGAAATTAACAAAGAAAGTGAAAACAACATAGCTAGCACCTCAAACTATTCAGAAAAGAAGCCCATTACATCATTTTCAGACATTTTCTTCGAACAAACAGTTAATAAGTCTACCACTAGAAGAGCCAAGAGGATATTTTCCGTAGACGACATTATAAACAACATCGGAAATAATACAAACAAATCGAAACTGGATACGCAATTTTCCGAAAGAAGAAGAAGCTTGCAGATAACAAGAGAATTCTTGGAAAGGGAAATAGATGCTTCACACATATTTCCGTTAAGACTGGTATCAAACGAACACCTTACCGACATCTGTGAAGAGAAAAAAGAAGAAAAGGAAATGGATAGGGTCGAAACGGTGGATGCCTGTGAAGAACAAGTTAATCAAATAAAAGGAATAACCGATGAAGAAAATAAAGAAAAGGAACAGATAACTGAAGAAAATGACAGTACGATTAAAGAATCTAACATAGTAATAAATGAAGAAGAAAAATTAAATGTAATAGCAAGTGAGAAAGTGGAAGAAGAAGAGATGATAACTAAAGAGAGTGAGGTAACTGAGAAAGAAGAAATAGAAGAAACAAAGCAAGATCACCCAGTGAATGAAACCAAAGAATTAGAAATATCTTGTAATCGAGATGCCGAAGAAAAAGTAACAGTTAATATCACAGTGGAACCCATCATTGAAAAACAAGTAACAAATTTTGATAACAAGGATGACCAGACAGAAACAAATGAAGACAGTGTGGGTTCTGTAACAAACTCTTCAATAAATAAGGAAGACAATACCTCAGAAGAAACAAATATTTGCACCAATGAAATGAAATTACCTATATGTGATGATAGTATCGTCAACAATGTTGTAGAGGAACAAGAAGTCATGATAGACAAAGCCGATTCATATGACAACTCACACTCTGCGGACACGACGCCAGAGGTACAAACAGATTTAGCCGTGAAAGAAATAGACCTAGACGTTGCTACCGACAATGAAGTTCATTACAGAAATGCCATACGTGTTGACGAAAACAATGTCCTGCTGGAAATAGCTGGAGAACTAGTGGAGATAAGCGTCAACATCATCAACGGCAAGAAAGTGATCACCGTGTTGCCCCTGTCCGAATCCACAATGGTTGATTTCAACGATAACTACGAGACTTTAGACACTACTCAAGTTGACGAAGGCATAAAAACCAATGCGAGCGATGACGAGCATAACTTGGAGACGTCACAGTTACTTTCTAACGATGAAGTCCCCCCCGAGCCAGATGTTATAGAATCCACTAGTGAAATTATCATAGGCCTTGATATAAGCCTGGAGGAGGAGATACAACTGGACTTGGAGAAGCCCCCAAGTCTAAGTACCAAAGCCGCGAAGAAGTGCTATGAAAACGACCTGCAGATCCCTTCCATTACGACTAGCGAGGACATCACGGATAACAATAAGGTCACGAGTTACTCACCGAATGACAAGGTAAGTTCCAGCAAAGAACAGAGACCTGAAAAATTCAAAAGTGAGAGGAAAAAAGTTGGTAAGAGTCTGAATGCTTCAAAAAAGAGTAGTACAGTCAAAAAGAAACACACAGACGATAAGTCTATAGTGAAAGAACTGATGAAAATCAGGAAAGTAAAGGAGACATTGCAGCAGAGAAAAGATGAAGAAGAGGTCGAAGAATTTGTTCCATTCAAAGAGCTCATCAAGGCGAGGAAGTTAAAAAAAATGAAGTTGCAACAAATGAAGAGCGATGAAAATGTCAGCGCGGATTCTACGAATAGACTGGACCAGGAAGAGTCTAGTGAACTTGATTCGGAGACGAAACAAGAAAACTGTACGCATAAAGAAGATACGACTGAAATTCGAACCAAAGAAAAAGAAACGTCTGAAGGGGAGACGATTGAAAGTGTTTCAGATGTAACTAAAGATGATAATGGAGAACTTGTAGAGGAAACTAAGACAAAAGATATATCGAAAACCAAAGATTATCAATTTAAGGTACAAAAATCATATAAAACCGAACAGAAAAGGAAAAAAGCAAACAATGAAACCAAAAGTGAATATGATGCAAAGTCAATCAAGAGAATAGAAGTTACTGAAAGTATCACAGAAAAAGCAATAAAAAAGGTAACTTTTGGTAGCGTAAGCTACAGCGAATCCGAAAAAAGTCTTGAAACTTTCCACTCTGAAGTTAAAAACTACAGACTGGAAGATCCAAGACTAAAATCAAGGCCAAACTGTGGGATACTAGTACCGAGTGTGTCGGAACTGTTAAATGAAAGTGACAGGTTGGCAAACAATAAGAAAAAGCTAAGTTTGGCGGAATACAACAACAGAAAAAGAAAACTGGCCGTCAGTACCAATGAAAAAGAAACTAAAATAAGAAAAATCAATTTAGTACCTTATACCGAACCAAAACCAGACATCAAAAGGCCTAAAGAACCGCTAAACAGGGCGAAGATGTCCCGACCCAAATCGTTGGACGATATAAAATTATTCGGAAAACCCAAAGACCCTTCCCTGATGAAAAGGAAGTTTAGCTTAGAAGTGACGAGTTCAAAACCCAATTACTTCGACTGGGAGGAGACCCAGTCCCCAAAGACCAACCTAGAATCCAAGGAAGACCCCCAGAAGCGTCTTAGCGAATTCAGAGGCCTTATCAACAACAACAAATCAAAAGTAGTAGTAGACGTAAGTGATCTAAAACCCCCCACATCGGAAGGTTCGGAAGACGAAATTCTGCAAAACTATAAGGAGCAGGTCGACTCGAAATTGAGCTCCTTGAACCTGCAGATACCCAGGGCGGCCAAACCTCCGACGAACATCATAAATCCGTTTTCCAACACGGAAACCATCACCCTGATGCAGAGGTTCCTGAGAAACGAGAAATTATCAGGCGACGAGATGGAAAAGATAAAAAAGATCATATCTTACAAAAGGCTGATGCAGCAACTAGACAGGATCAAATCACCGGGATTGAGCAATTCACCTTTAAACCCGTCTTACGAGATCAGGAAGAATTGTACGGAGAAAGAGATGAAACTACACCTGAAGAAAGTGCCCGAGAAAAAGAAGAAGAGGTTCCGTAACTTGTACACCGACTCGACTACAGAATCGGATAGTGACTTTTGTGATTTTAAGAGGAATAATGGGGACTATTCTGTGGTTCAGTCGAACAGTTACGCGGCCGGTGTGCCTAAGTTGATAATAAAAAGGAAAACTGAGATGCCTGTGCCTGTTGTGAGGCTAGAAAGGTTGGACCTGAACCTCCTCAACAACAGAAAACGGAAGTTTTGTTGAATTATTTTTTTACCTATGATAAATGCAGTGATAAAGGGACCAAAACATACCAAAGTACGTTGTTGTTTGTTCCATTTAGTTTATATTTTGTTAGTTATAATTATTTTTTTAAAGAAATTAATATAATTTATTTTTTATTTTTGGTTATGGTTTACATGAAGGGGAAAGCATCGTTTAGTTTCGGTCGAAATAGCCTGGAATGTAAGAGGAGTGCCACCGTCACTATGTCACATGAAACAAACAGATTTTTATACTTACAGGTGTCTTCGCTTTTACTATTTTCATTTAGTTTAAATGTTGCATGATTCACATGCCAGGCTAAAATAAAAACTCATTTCTTGTTAACAGTGAAACTTAATCATAGATTTGTACTTTGAGGAGTTTAATTCATTGAAAACTTGACGATTTTCTTTCAAAATGAATTTTTAAAAAATTGTTTTTATTTAATTTACTATCCTTTTCTATTGATCAGGGTAAAAAATTTAGAAAAATTTACGTTTTTGTTGATAATTCTCAATTTTTTTTATGATATTAAAAATTAGCATTTAAGAAAACAAATTTTTTAATCAACAACGGTGGATCTTACACCGTAAAAACATTTTACGGTCTACATAATTTTGTCGCAATTGACATCAAACTGCCCGAGATTTTTTCATTCCGTATAAAAAAGTACAACTACCGTTGATGTTAAATCATTTAGATTGGTACACAGAGTTTAACAAGTGTTTTGCCTCGTCCAACGTAACACTGACGGATAAAATCCGTCAGTGAGACGTTTGTTTGAATATTTATATGATAAACGTTGTCAATTTTACACATTTTATAAAGAATATTCGCAGCTCATACACAGTATTAAGACATGCCTTCTTCATTGTTAAAAATGCATACTGACTGTTTGTGAAATTATTAAACTGATTCTAATTTATACACAGATAGAAGTGCCTCCAAATTGAGGTTGCGGGTGTATATTTTTTCGTATTGGGAATTTTTAAGGACGCTATATTTTTAGATAAATTGTATCGAAAGTTTTTTGTGTACAATGATAAGCCTGACTTTCATTCCATAAGTGAACAAAGCAATGTTTTGTAGGTAATTTTGTTGACGATGGTCTTTTTCAAGACTGTCAAACTAAAAACGTGTATAAATCATAAACTAAATCGAATTTTCATCGTTTGCCAGTCTTGAATATAACCAGCTTTTCGAAGTCTGTAAGTTATTTTGTATCCTTAAACAAATGCATTCCAATTAAATAATCTATTGACATATCATAGAAAAACTCGTACGAATACAGGGTGTTCCCATGTCTAGTCCCTATCATAAAGAAATATTATTTATTAGTTTAATATGTTATTGTTATATATTATATAATATACACCTGTTATGGTACCTAGAAGCAACATTTCTTTTCTGTTCTATATTGTTACTTTATGTCATAGATAATTTACGCCAAATAAATATTGTTCTTTTGTTGGTCATTACAGTTTTTCTATGATAGATTTCATGTTATTTTGAATATGAGTTTTAGTTACCGAAATATGCACTGATTTTGTAAATTTACCACCTTCGGAACGTACCGAAAAGGATTTTCAGAACCGACGAAGTACCTAAACATAGCTTCGTTTAGAATTTGTGCCACATATCTATAGATCTATCTATATATATTTGTAACTATAAAACTAGTTTTATCAGTAGTTGTGATAGCGTCGGAATTTATTTGGTACGTTCTGCACTTAGGAGCCCTACGTGTTTGTAATTTTCTAGGTTATTGTGAGTGCCTTAGCACCTATGTGATTGTAAATTTTGTACCAAGTTACTGGTAGTGTATATCCAGCACCGTGTTATTAAAAATGTTTGAAAAACTCGTGGTCCTTGATTTTCCCCATTTATATGACTTTTGTAAACGTCAAAACTTGAGATACTATGGGATTGAAGGCGGGAAAGTTATTGAGGGTAATTTTGAAAAAAAAAATAACTTGAAACTTGAAAATATTTTATTCAATATACATTATCTGTATACATATACAATAGTATTAGAAATATTCACTTTCATAAAAACGTAGGCTGATACATCAAACGAATGAACTTTATTTCACTTTTCATGGGACCTTATATCCCAATTATTTTAAATTGAAACATTTTGATATTTATTACAAAGTGATTATCTATAAAGCAGTTACTCCGATCGAATATATAATAAACGGTATAGCCGTACTTCCACAGCGAAACTGCCCCCAATAGGAACCTATATCGTAACCTATGTTATATTGTAGAGGGCGCTAATAGTAGTTGATCGAGTAGATATTAGCTCTAGATCTTAGTTAATTTAGGAGCTATTTGAAAAAAAGTGTCAATGGACGATTTTTTTTCTTAGTTAATTTCAAAGTTAAGAAAATAAATCTAAAAATAGCAGTGTTGCGGTACACTTTACAGTTTATTTTATAGCAGTTCCTATGGGCCAAGCCTAAATAAAAGTATTTAAAAAAGGCAAATAAAAATTTTGTAAATTGATTTCTTTGAAGTAATAATTGTCTATGTCTTGCCTAACAGCATAACAACTTTCATTAAAATCCAAGAGGTGCAACATGTCGAAAAAAAATTTAAAGTGACTGGACCACCTTACGATTACTATGTTGACGCTTTTAATTTGTATTATATTTCAATAGTCTTTGGAAAAATTGCGTTTTGACAGGTCATAAAAAGTATATCAAAGCTTGGTGGTGTCAACTATTTTTAATAGAATTTTTTGTCCTCTAGTCTCTACATATTATTTTTATAAAGTCTTTGTAGATCAAAAATACGTCGACTGTCCTTTCTGTCATTCATATAAATATAATTAAAAACCTAATCAATTTTTCAAAATTTTTAACTTGACTATTTATCAAATGCAAGATATAAATCTCGTATAGTTCGCGGAGCAGAAATATTATGCAGTGTTTTTTCTATAAATAACGATCACATTGTAGGTAATTAATGAAGATAGTGATGATGACTAATAAGTTATTTTTTATGAATATCAGTTTAATTATTACTGAGAAAATATCATCCCATTTCCTTTTAAACCTTTCATGCCCATTACTGAAAAACTAAAAATGTAATAGAATTTAAAAGCATCAACAAGCCATATATATTTTGTAGGTAAAATTTTTGTCGTAAACCCACAAATAAAAACCTTTTCCCTCTTCCGGACATTACAGCGGGACAAGCTGTATATACAATTTTTTTATAATTTGTTATTTCAAAACACGTCGAGTAATGTACGTGTTGCAGCATACTGCATATTCTATCTTTTTTAATTAACAATTTTGTCATTTATAACAGTAACTTAACAAAATTAATTGAAAAATGTTGAATGAATAAATAAAATAAAATAAACGGTGTACCTAAACATAAATACTCCTTACATTTTGAAAAATGTATTATATAAGTTTATTATAAATGCACGGTTTTAATCATTCAATGTGCCAACTTAAATTTCTAGTCAAACTGAGACAGTATGTTTTTACTTAAAGATCTGAGTTAGCATGTTTTCCAAGCTTAATTTGAGATAGCATGATTTTGAACCGAAATTTGAGATAGCATGTCTTCCAACCGAAATCTGAAATAGCATGTTTTCGTACTAAAGCGTGGACTTATGGTATTAAGAATTCTTGATCTTAACTCAAACTGAATTAAATTCGATTCGCAAATCTCTATAAAAGTAGATCAAAAAAACATTGTAATAGGCAATTTTTCCAAAGATTATTGAAATATAATGCAAATTAAAAGCGTCAACATAGTAGTCGTAAGGTCACTTTAAATTTTTTTTCGACATGTTACACCTCTTGGATTTTAATGAAACTTGGCATGCGGTTAGGCAAGACGTAGACAATTATTACATATTTTTTTCAAAGTTCAATTAGATCTGATAGAAATCGATTTACAAAATTTTTATTTGCCTTTTTTAATACTTTTATTTAGGCTTGGCCCATAAGAACTGCCATAAAATAAACTGTAAAGTGTACCGCAACACTGCTATTTTTAGATTTATTTTCTTAGCTTTGAAATTAACTAAGATATCGCTTTGAAAAAAGTCGTCTATTGACACTTTTTTACCTTCTAAATACACAAAATACCTTCTAAATTAACTAAGATAGGTATAGAGCTAATATCTACTCCATCAAAAAGCACCCTCGACAATATAACATAGGTTACGATATAGGTTCCTATTCTCATTTAGCATCCATAGAAACAACTACGGCATCTAATTCTCAACAAAACTTTTTTTTATCTAGCCTTTAAAAAAGATTGATGTAGGAATCTATATGCTAATATTTTTACATTTATTGAAAATATTCATAAGCCAAATTTGTATTATCAACTGGATTTAAAAAATAGGCAGAGAATTGAATAGCTTTATATAAAAACAAAGAGTAAAAAAAACTAATTGTGCACCGATATATCAATCACTCTTAAAGATGTTTCACTCAAATTTGGTAGGAAGAAATTTGTATAGAAGCTAAATTAGAATATGTTAAAAAAGTTGACTCTTTAATTTAAAGATTAGACATCTATGACCAAAAATGAAACTTAATTATATCGGAATAATTGCTTTGCAGGTAATTATTTTGTACTAAAATATGAAAATGTTTTAAGCTCAAATAAGAGAAATATAAGGGTGGCTTCATGAAAAGTGAAATACATATATCATATTCTCGACAGACAATTTCAACTTTTGATTAAAAGAATTCCAAAAAATATATATAGGTATAAAAATACTGTTGGATTTTAAATATTTTTCTGCCATTCGACAGTATGGAAAGTTAGTATACATTATTAAAAATGTATATATTCTCCGAAAAATGTACCGCAAATATCATGTTTACCTCTCAAATCTTTGTCGTTAAAGACAGTTAACAAACCATTAGGAAAATAAATTTTTACCTAAATTTTAATACCTAATTTAAATGTTTACTCTAGCACAGCCTTTTCATTACCTTTTTGGCACTTCTGGCAATATAAAAGTAATTCTTATTATTTAGAACTAAACACGAAACAACTGCCCTCTGTCTAAGAGCCTTTTAACTGCGTACGACTCTAAACATAACTAACCTCACTTAAATGTGTCACAATTTTGTTTAAATACACAAGAAACAATACCTTATTCTAATAATAAAATTAAACGTCTAACAACCTAAATTTTTTAGACCTTAACTTAAAGATGCACATTCTTAACGAACCGAAAATATACTGTAATAAATCATCTTACTGTTTATGTACTACTCAGTCAACTCTAGTCAGATCTCAATCACACAGCAGTAGAAGACACGAAACACCTTAAAACTCCTGACATCTAAAGGGATACGATGTGCCTCTTTTCATGAGCCCGCATGTGATCCCTTCTCCTGAACTTCTTCTTGCAGATGCTGCATTCGTGTGTAAGTCCCGTGGTGTGTACAAGTAAGTGTTTTATAAAAACTGACCTGAAATTGCGGGTTTTAATAGGTTTTTCACAAATAGGACAGTACTGCCTATTGGGGTAGTCAAAATACTTTTCTATTTCATCAGGAGGAAGGATTGTCCGGGGAAAGTTATGACAGTCCCTCGTGTGGCGCAACAATTCTAGCGGGTTGTCAAACAGTGTACTGCAGTGTTTGCACTGTCGATTGTTTAACACCTCATCGCCATTTTCTCGTAGATCTTTATCTTCCAAGTCGTCGTCTTGTTCGTTATAATCATATATCGATACATCTTTAGTTATGCATTGACTGGTTTTATTTTCTGATTCAGGGGATACATTTTCTGTGCTGCTATTGCTGCTGTTCAGATCTTCATCAATGCGTAATTCTGTTTGTTCTTTGTCAATATCATTATTGTTTATACCAGTTTCGTTTAACACTGGCGGCTTGTTGGTTTTGTTTGGGCATTTCTTCATGTGAGTGATGCTGGTTAATTTTTGTGGGAAGATCTTGCAACAATACTGGCAGGGGTAAAAAACCTTTCCGTTTGGGGCTACTATCGGTTGTTTGGTTTGTGCGATACCATTGTTACCAAGAGGAATGTCTTCTGTTTTTACTTTTTGCCTAGGCACCTCCGATGATTCATTATAATCTGTTTTGGGTCTTTTCCTCAAGTTTTTGCTAGTGGACATCTTACCTAAAAGCAAACGTTAAATATACCAAACTAAAAATACTATCACATCACTTTACTATGTATATAAATGATTGTAAGCTAGAAAATGGCAAGATAGTGAACCTACGGAAAGTTATTTTTTTCTATTCACAAAACAATTGTGTACAAACAAAACACAAAATTAAAATAAAATGGAAAGAACAAAAAATTACAGAAAAGGAAAGAATCTAATTATCCGTGTAGACAGTGTTACAAACTATTAGAACTAATAAGAAAGGATTTGTTTCTTGAGATGAGTGATATTTTTTGCACTATGATTTCGAGTCACCATCAAATAATAGCTAATGGCATTGTCGTATTTTTAAAATCAGCCAATCAGTGTTTAGCTTTCAAATCATGATCACAAAGTTACAGTTGAGAAAGAAGACGTTTAGAACAGATTAGAGTAAAACAAAACAAGACCCACAAAATTATACTTGCTTTACTTCTACTTGACAAGACTATTAAATTTTATCTCCCCACAAATTTTGAGTTGAGTTGAGCCAAACTTAAATGTTTTAAAGTTTTAAACTTTATTAAGCCTTTTGTAATATGACTCATGATATTAACGACATATTCACATATTAACCGAAAAAACACAGGAAATAGTATAGTCGTACAATTCGTACAATATTTGTTCACATAGAATTCCAAGAAAATTATCGCAATTACTGTAACAATTTACCGCTGCAAGGGCGTTCCTTGAAATTTTAAGCAAATTTAATGTCTTTCTACCTTGGGTATCGAATGCGGGCAGCTAGGAGCGTGCCTTAAAATTTTTCGCCAATGACTTTTCACCTAGGGTGTCTAATGCGGTTAATTCCAAGAAAGTGGCGCAGGGGTCTTCTCGAAAGTGACTCACTTGTCTAAACTGTACCAAACTGATCGGTTTTCTATTTTATTATAATTTAAATTATCAGTGCTCCTCACGACGCGTTCCTGTACTAAAACAAAACATATCTGTCCAAAGTGAAAGAGTTAACAGGCCGGAAATATAACCTAGAAATTTAGTGTGACCAGTGAATAGTGAAATTTTCTTATTAATTTTAAAATCTGTGATGAAATAATATTATTTAAATTGGCATTTAGGGAATTAACAAATAGTGTAGCAAATTAAATGAAGGTAAGTAAATGTACGAGTATAAAAATGTAAAGTGTATCCACATTTTCATCATTTTCCAGATGTCTTTCAGCAAAACACATAAGATTCTATTAGGATTAAGTGCAGTCTCAGGAGTAGCCACATTTTATTGTCTTAATAATCAAAAAAACAAGGCACATGCCTCGTGGACCACCAGTTACAGTGTATCAGCTTTCGCCAAATGGGACGAAAACTGGGACCAGTAAGTATTACAAAACTAGGAGGAAAACTGTCTACAGACCTTCAGAAAATACTGAATTTTATATTTATCTTTAGTCGTTCACCAAAATATACCAGAAATCCAAAGCAAATTACTAACGAGAAGGACGAAAACCTTGTCAACGAAGAGAGAGAAAATTTAAGGCCTAAATTTTATAGGCACCTAATACTAATCAGGCACGGACAATATAACCTACAAGGAGAGACAGATAGGGAAAGAATATTAACCAAATTAGGTAATTTTTTTTAAATTTTATGGGGATTTCTTTACAGTTATAATTTTTTGTAGGACGCTTGCAAGCGGAATATACTGGCAAACGTTTAAAGGAACTGAACCTTCCTTATACAATTATGGTCAAATCGACTATGGCGAGAGCGCTAGAGACTGGATCCATCATATCGCAGTCGTTACCTGACGTAAGAGATTTATAAATTTTTAACCAATTTTTTTTTCATGTAACGTTTTAGTTACCAGTAACGGAGTGTGATCTTTTGAGAGAAGGCGCGCCTATACCGCCAGAACCACCTCTGGGCAGATATAAACCGGAAGCTTATGTAAGTAACGTGAAATTTTTATTGTGATAGCTTCCGAGTTTTTGCTTAGTGTTAACGCTCGTACTTTATTTTAATAAGAAGTTCTACCAGGACGGGTCGAGAATAGAGGCCGCATTTCGCAAGTATTTCCACAGAGCAGATCCTACTCAGACGGAGGACACATACACTGTGTTGGTGTGTCATGCCAACGTCATTCGCTATTTTGTTTGTAGGTGAGTATTAGAAGCGGTTTTAAAGTGTTTACACTCATTTGTACGGATTGCATGGAACTGCGGAGTGTTTTGTGTCTAGGGCTCTCCAGTTCCCCGCAGAGGCTTGGCTGAGGTTGTCGTTGAACCACGCTAGCATAACTTGGATTACCATCACACCTAGCGGGCGGTGTGTACTTCGTGCTTTGGGAGATACAGGGTATATGTCGCCCGATATCATCACAAGCACTTGAAAGTGAAACGTTTTTTTATAGAGATAAGGATTGATCAATATTTTTATATGAAAAGAGCTTTAAGGTTTCAGTTTTTTTTATGTGTTAAATTAGGTAACTTTTAAGATTTTTACTTTGAACAATTTAAGTAATGGGATGTGGAATAAGTTCCCGCTGTTTTTTCATGAAAATTAAATGCTTTATTTAAAACAAAATAGTAAAATTAGTATTGTCCCTCGCTAGCCACTACTTTTTCTCATCTTTTTGGCAGCATTTTCCATGTCAGAAAAACGATACATACGTCTTTTGAGGCTATCCAACAGTCGATCCACTTTTTAGCATATTCATAAGAATGGAAGTCCTGTTCAACCAGGGCATGTTCCATCGATCGGAATAAGTGATAATCGGAAGGGGCAATGTATGGTGAATATAGCGGGTGGGGTAGGATTTCCTATTTAAGTGTTTCCAAGTAGGTTTTTCAACATGTGGCTGAGTGTTGTTATGCTGCTAAATCATTTTGTCGTGGTTCTGCTCGTGTAGCGGCTGTTCTCCTTCAATGTTTGGCTCAAAGGCATCAATTATTGTAATCGATAACAATTTCCCGTGATGGTTTTCTACCGTTGAAGGAGCTGTTCACATGTGCAAAGATGCCGTTCAAGATCTCTCCGATTCATCTTCAAACTGTTTCGGTGTGCCAGTGCGTTCTTTGTCAACATTAAAATCATTATATTTCTAAACCGATCTCTGCATGTTTGTGACAGAGCATGGACGCCGTAAGTGGCAACAAGAATTCTGTGTGCTTTAGCTGCTCTTTTGAATAAAGTAGAGGGGTAAAATTCCCCACAAATACTCTTTTTTCAGTACGAAATTCGACATGTTTAACACTATGAAAAGAGAAGTAGTTTACACTTCGGCGAAATAACATTCACTGAATTTCAAGCTTGTTAACGCCTTCTGTAGAAAAACAGCGTGAACCTTTTCAACGTCCCTATACCTATTCACATCTTCAGGCGATGGAAGTGGAATCCTAAAAAGTTTTTTACGTTTTTGTCTGTCAAAGATTTAAGCGATGGAATTTATGAATTAAAATTGCTGTGTTAAAGACAGATCAGAACTAAACGGTTCCAATTTTAAGTATTTACATTGTTTTCTTTATATATGTTTATTGACAACTGAAGACAATGATGTTCTTTCTTCCATTCAAATGTACAAATCTTAGAACGTTTAGATGTAGAATCTGCTCAAATATCGACAGAATTTAGTTAAAAGTGTGAAAAATTCTCATATCAGTATAATGGCGAAAGTGCGCCTTTCGTTTCTTAAGAAAGACACGAAATAAATATTTATTTATAGCATTAGTTTTGTATTTAACGTGTGAAGACATTTACCAGTATTGTTTTTTTTATACTGTGTGTCAGGTTTTTTTTATACAATAAAATATAATGAAAACAAGTTTTTGTTTAATTTGTCACCCTTGTACATTAAAAGGTTGGAGAAACTTTTTGGCCAAATAAAATTTCTTCATAAGAGAATGTATATTTTTGGCAGCGTAGTTAGTGAAAATTGAAATGATCATAATTATTTTCAAATTAAAGTGTAGGCCCTGTATTATAAGGCATGGGTTCTATACTCACATAGAGAACTTTCATGGTGAAACAATTAAAATTGGATTGGACGACCCTGAGATCTTGCATATATACAAAATGTATTTATTTCATAATCAAAACTTATACAGGGTGATTTTAAATGGAGTAACAAAAATTGTACCAATGAATATAGAGCTAAAAATAAGAGGATTGAAGTAAAAATACCTTATACGAAAGTTGCACCCCTCAGGCGATATACCTAATGAGAGGATTTACATTTTAATTTTTTTTCTTCAACATGAGGAATGAGGGACACACATTGCAATATTTTATTAGAAATTTTTTATATGCAGCAAATTATTTATTTAAAAATGTTTACTGGGAAGACTGATTTATTGCGCAACTTTTTTACCTCTTGTAATTTTTTGATAAAACCAATAGTTTTCTAGTAAAAAAATTAGATGTGTCATCGTTCACTAAAGGGATAATTGCGAAAATTTGTGAAAATAAAGAAGGCGGATGTCATAACAAATAAATTGTTATTTATCATATTAATAAATTGACACTTTCTGTCAACCAATAATTAGTACCAACTACCAATTGATTAATTTATTATCAGAATAATTATGGCAAATAATATTTATACCAATGGCGAATATGTCGACATGCTCCAAGTGTTTTTAAAATCCAGAAAAAATAGTAACGCTGCAGCAAAATTATACCACCAAAGATATCCAAACCGACCGATTCCTGATAGACAAACATTGGCCTCGGTGGAAAGAAGGCTTTGCGAAACTGGTAAAATTCAATTGTGAGGGTGCCGGAAGAAAGCGTAATGTCCGAACTGTTGAAACTGAGGAAGCTATACTGGAACATCTAGAACAAGACTGTGGTACAAGCACAAGACAGGTGTCCAGGCAACTGCAACTTTTTCACAGTCTTGTGTGGAATGTAGCTCCTGAAAATCTTTTATACCCTTTTCACCATCAACCCGTGGAAGAATTGAATAACCCTGATTTACCTAACCATGTGAATTTTTGTCAGTGGTACATTAATATTTCCAGGCATGACTTAAATTTCCTAATGAATATATTTTTCACCGATGAAGCAAATTTTCCTAGNGAAAGTTGCACCCCTCCGGCGATATATTATCTTCTTAAATGATTGAAAACCACATTTAAATTTTTTTTCTTTAACATGAGGAATGAGGGACACGAAACTTGGTATGAGCATCCCACTAATAAAGAGACAACTTTTCAATATTTGTTCGATCATTGGCATATTTTATAAAGGACTGAAACAGTCGACCACATTGCAATATTTTATTAGAAATTTTTTATATGCAGCAAATTATTTATTTAAAAATATTTATTGGGAAGACTGATTTATTGCGCAACTTTTTTCCTCTTGTAATTTTTTGATAAATCCGATAGTTTTCTAGTAAAAAAATTAGATGTTTCATCGATCACTAAAGGGATAATTGCGAAAATTTGTGAAAATAAAGAAGGCGGATGTCATAAATAAATTGTTATTTATCATATTAATAAATTGACACTTTCTGTCAACCAATAATTAGTACCAATTGATTAATTTATTATCAGAATAGTTATGGCAAATAATATTTATACCAATGACGAATATGTCGACATGCTCCAAGTGTTTTTAAAATCCAGAAAAAATAGTAACGCTGCAGCAAAATTGTACCACCAAAGATATCCAAACCGACCGATTCCTCATAGACAAACATTGGCCTCGGTGGAAAGAAGGCTTCGCGAAACTGGTAAAATTCAATTGTGTTGAAACTGAGGTAGCTATACTGGAACATCTAGAACAAGACTGTGGTACAAGCACAAGACAGGTGTCCAGGCAACTGCAACTGTTTCACAGTCTTGTGTGGAATGTAGCTCCTGAAAATCTTCTATACCCTTTTCACCATCAACCCGTGGAAGAATTGAATAACCCTGATTTACCTAACCATGTGGATTTTTGTCAGTGGTACATTAATATTTCCAGGCATGACTTAAATTTCCTAATGAATATATTTTTCACCGATGAAGCAAATTTTCCTAGAGTAGGTCCAGTAAACCTTCATAATGTTCATTCATGGTCGGAAGAAAATACTCATGAAATATTTGTTTCAAGGTGTCAACATAATTTCAGTTTAAACGTTTGGATGGGAATTGTAGGATATACTCTAGTAGGTCCTTTTATTCTTCCACACAGGCTTGGAGCGGCCGAGTATCTTAGATTTTTTAATGAAAATCTTCCAACATTACTTAAGGATGTACCCCTCGCTACACGTCAGGTGATGTGGTATATGCACAATGGGGCGCCTGCACATAGTACACTTGCCGTTAGAGAATGGTTAAATTTAAATTACCCGAATCGCTGGATTGGTCGTGGTCGTGATGCCCCTGTTTGTTGGCCTGCACGTTCACCTGACCTAATGCCTATGGATTTCTTTTTGTGGGGACACGTAAAAAGTATTATTTATGCCACTCCTGTTGCCTCCTTAGAAGAACTATGCTTAAGAATATTTTAAGCAGCAGATGACCTTCGCAATAATCAAGAACTGTTTGTGTGAGTGCGTTATAACTTCAACAGACGTATTAGGTTATGCTTGCAGCAAAATGGAAATTATTTCGAGAATATTCTTTAAATTTAATTTTGCATTTCTTGTTTTTCGTTTGTATTAAATTTTATTTCAGATAAATAACTTTACCTAATACATGTCCCATAGTCATAAGTTATCAAACATTTTTCATTAATTAATAGCAAATTATTCTTAATGTTATTATTAAA